TGATAACGGTGATGATAAAGATGATGATAACGGCGATGATAAAGATGATGATAAAAGACCATGGTGGCAAAGAGGATAGTGTAGTTGCCTGGCATGCGAATGGTCCTTGTAAGATCCCGAGCAGAGGTAAGATTATTACTCATGTTTTGTTCCAACTAGCGTTGACCTCGGACACGAAAAGAAGTTAGTTCAGTTACTTTACACGACCAGATGTATCGTGCGCATCACATGGTCATTGTTTCGTTCCCTGGCGGAGCCGGACTTTTTTCAAAAATGAGCTTGACTCCTAGGTCGACCCAGCCTTTAATGGGTACCGGGTGTAGTCCCAAGAAGAAAAGGCGACCAGCGTGATGCTGACCTCTTAACCCATCTTGTGCCGATTATCCTATACAAATATAGAATTAGCCCTATGTGCCCTGTACGACTAAAGGCGTGGGACAAGGACCTTTATTGTTTTTGTTTTAACCAGATGTATCACTTGTTTCTTTAGCTTTTTGTGTTTTTACTAGTCAGTTTTACGTTATGTAGTTTGTCGTCGTTTCTGAACGATCAGTTCTAATAGGCTGCGTGGAACCTGTTTAAGCAGTATCACAAATTTCAATATTTTTAAAAGAAAATCAATACGTTTCATCAGGAAGAGAATTTTTATCATTCACCTTCTACACGGTGCTGGGATACTTAAAGGCTAGGGATTGTGATCTTCGGAAAGACAGATCCTAAGAAGAACCCCCCCCCCCCCCCCCCCCTTTTTTTTTTCACCAATCTGTTTTTCCCTATGGTTTTATGCCTGTAGGTCCTGACAAGGGCGACTACTAGAAAGGACTACAGTAGCCTCTCTTTTTTCTCTTTGGTCGTTGATAGTACTAACCTCTAGCAGATATATCACTAGAAGAACTGCATGTTATAACCGTTTAAAAAAATAAATGTAAAAGACCCTTCACCCAGGAAAATCTTTAGTATTCATTGGTTAGCCAAAAAGAATTGCCTAGATGCTTTGAAAGAGACGAGAGCTCGGAGACAACTTACCACCCACAGCAGAAAGAGACAGTTACCATTTGTGGCCACATTATGAGAAAAAAAGACATTGGAGCAAGTTTGTGACCACTGGAAAGATTTGTGGTTAAAAAAAAAAAGAAAAAAAGAAAAGACAACTGCAGACTATTTTCAAGACATGGAACGGTGTCAGCACAAGAACTAATACACGCTGTTGAAGATCGCAGGCTATGGAGAGGTATGATCGCCCACGCCAGTCGGCAAGGTACTCGGTGGCGATGATTGTTTTAATTTATATTTGTGATACTGCTTCCGTCGAATGTTTTCCATGGGATTGGAAAACATATACTTCTTTTCTTGAAATATACTTCCTGAAAAAATTTCTATACTTGAAATATACTTACAGAAATCAATTTCTATAATTGAAATATATTTACAGATATCAATTTCTGTACTTAAAGTATACTTACAGAGATACATTGCTATATTTGAAGTATACTTACAGTAAAGACCCCCTCCGCCCACTGTCGAAAGCTCTGTTCCTGTGCACACAACTCATCGCCCTCTCCGATGGGGAAGATACGTTCAGCGCCCAGCTCGTGCAGTGTGTTGTCCATGTAGCGACCAAAAGCGGCAAAGTGCGGGTAGGCTTTGGATCCCAGTGCAAAAACGGAGAACCTGTGATAGAATCAAGATTATGACCGACGTATCGTGTGAAAGTAAGTAAAATAAAGATCCATTTTCATGACTTTAGGCACATCGGGCAAATGGGAAAAGCACTCATATTTTTACAGACCAATCTGCTCTAGGTGGGTAATGTAGTCAGTATTAAGCCGGCCGTCTTCACTTCCCAAGGAAGACCATCCTGGTACCCATTTTAGGCTGGGTCGACATGCGAGGCCGCATATCCAGCAGCCAGCAGTGGGTTTCGATCGCGGTACGTTGGAATTACGAGTCAGCCTCGCAACGCCTAAGCCAACATATCGTGACCGACTGCTTACATCAGAGCTAAGTAGCATTTCTGGTGGCGACTGTTGGCAGTGGCGCTCCAGTAACTGCATTTTGCATGAATTGCCTGCGCCTTTCAAACGGGACAGTGAGGGACATTTCATCGACCTCTTTCTACAAGAGCTATAATCTTCATGTCTGTTCTCTCTTTAACTGTTGAGGGCCTACACCCCCCCCCCATACCCCTAAAAACGAATAGATGTCTGAAGCCACCTCCCCAACCCCCAACCCCAGGGCCAGTAATTTATTTGTGGAGGCGACCCTTGTGATGATAAAGATAATGATGGTGACGATGATGGTTTTGGTGATGAAGGCGAAGATGATGATGCTGGGTGCTGGTAATATATGATGATGGCGATGGTGCGTTTTGTCACAAACAAGCACAGGGGAGAGAGAGAGAGAGAGAGAGAGAGAGAGAGAGAGAGAGAGAGACTGAGAGAGAGAGAGAGAGAGAGTGAGAGAGACTGACAAAAGCACAGAGAGAGAGACTGACAAAGGCAGAGGGAACGAGACTGACAGAGGCATAGAGAGAGAGAGAGAGAGACAGAGAGAGAGAGAATGACAAAGGCACAGAGAGAGAGACTGACAGAGGCAGAGGGAGAGAGACTGACAGAGGCAGAGAGAGAGAGAGAGACTGACAGAGGCAGAGAGAGAGAGAGTGGGGGAAACAAACCCAGTTACCTGACATTGCCAAGCGGTCCGTTGATCACAGCCAGCGAGTCGGTGTTGTCCGTGTCCTGCTGCTCCCCTTTGTCACTGGAGATGCTCAGTCTCACATAGGACGAGTGTGTCCGCCCAGTGTTGCCGTCTCTGTATTGGAAAGAAACGTTATCCCGGAAATGCAAAAAATTCTATTTGACAGGTTGACATAATTCGAAAATCTGGTAACTTCCGGACCTGCCGAATGCTGGATATATGAAAATGATTGATTTTTCTAAGCTTTTTTTTTTGGGTTATGTTTTGTTTGTTGATTTTGTATGTTTGTTGGGGTCAGTTTTTGTTTGGTTTATATAGATATATGTGTTGTATAATACTGTTTATGGTCGCAGATTGTGGTGAGGCATGATAGCCCACTCCAGTCGGCCAGGCACTTGTGATGATAATGATGAAATACGATATATATTTAACAGCATATGACTACCTGTAAAGTCCTTGAAAGAAATAAAATGTAACACTAAATGAGAAGTAAGTCATTGTTTAATGTTCACTAACTAAATAAAAAAGTTCTACAGAATAGTTATAGAGAATAGTTCTACAGAATTTAATTTCACAGAATAAATTTGTTCTTCAGAATTTTAATAAAAGGAAAAAAAAAATCCTTAATTTTTATTTAAAGAAAATCCATGCCTTATATCCAAGGGGAACGGACTATCAATGATAATCTTTTTTTTTTTTAAAATATATATTTGTTATTTCAACCTGTATTTAAGAGATTTTTTTTTTAGAGTCCAGAAACCATGAGTTGTAAACCCTTAGGCTCGGTACTATGGATATCGCAACCCTTCGGCCTTGATTCCATTATAGGTACCGTTAATCTGGAAGAAATGTGGCTTTTCTGCACACCCCCGGGAGTGAACGCGGACCACAAGGAGTTCGTCACCCGGCCGCCGCGAAAGTCAGGTTTAACCAGTTACGCTAGCGAGCCGGGCGTATTTAAGAGATAAAAGACAGAGACATACTGTGAGCAAATCATATACTGAAATATAGATGGCTTTCTTTTTATGGAAAACATTAGAAAGGGATTATGCACACGACAGGAAAGGAAAATTAAATGCATTTGAAAAGAAATGCCTGGGGGAAAATGTTGAACATAAAACGGGTTAAATTCAAGAGGGGAGGAAAGGGGTGGGGGGGGGGGGCAAGAAATAAGAGAAATGTCTGGCCAGCCTCTGGGAACATCAGATATAAGACAAAGAAGATGGTTCTATATTGTTAACCATCCTGGAAAAAAAAGAACAGAAAATCACTAGGCAGGCAATGAAATGGGAAATAAATGAATTCAGCAAACTAGGACACGTAACAACAACAACAACATTAAAACAAACGTTAAATATAAAGATCGACATTGCAGGGCTGGGTTCCAGCCATGATATCTAAGAGATTGCAGGAATTTCACAGGATTGCAGAGGATTGCACATGACATACAAATCTGAAAAATCTTGTAAGGGAAAATGGGTTAGTCGTAGTTGGATGTGCTTAGCTTCTCCCAAGACTGAGTCCCCCGCCCATACGGTGAGAACGCACAAAATGAACTTCTGATAGGATTTGGTTCCAGCAATGCACACGAGCCCCGTTAACTTCGACCACACACGGTTACGGGGGATTGTTCCGCAATGCCGTTGATATCGCGTTTTGTATTTATGTTCGAGCACGTAACACTTTCAAAAAAAACTTTATGTTTGGTTAGGTGACACGGCCTGTCGACTCACACGAAACTGCGTCTAACACAACTCCCGTAGAGAGTGCTTCCCCAACTCCGCCCATATGTCAAACTCACTTGTATTCTATTTCTCAGAAGGGGTGTTCCGCAATGCCGTTGATAGTCGTAATTTTGCAAGACACTTTCGCAGAAAACACAACCTAGAGAGAGCTATGGGACATTTCTCACCCGTAACAAAGTCGACTAGCCTAACAAACACGTTAATTAAAAGTGACCTAATCTATATGGGGAGACTAACGTTGAACTAACCGGGAGAATGTTTAGTTCGGACACTGATCGTAACTGTAGGAGCAGGTGTTCAACAGATGTTGGTAACGCGGATCATTGCCGCCCAGGTGAACAACCGCGTTGTTTCTTGTAACTTATAATAGAGATTTGTGCGTAGCCTTCGACTGTGTTAGGTTAGCTGTGTGCAGGATAGATTATTTCTGTCAGGAACCTACTAATGAGCCAAATGCCTTCACGGCAGTAAAGTAGGTTCACGACAGACCCCACTGAGATAGCTGGAGAAAGCGAAGAAGATAAAGAAAAGGGAGGAAAAATGAGATGTCCAACTTACCCATTCGCAGAATCTGAAGTCTTCATCTCATACAAAGACTTGGCAAACGCCTGAGAAGGAACAGTAAATTACATAATGACAAAGCTGATGAAATACACAACATTAACAAGAAAAGGGCGACCGGATAAATATAAATTCGGTTGGCACCTTTCTGTCTTTCCAGAGGACATTATTATACTGCGCTATGAGGAGCCATGGGACTTACAGCCCATGGCGACGGCGAGTGTGACTAGCAAGACTCGCCCGCGTTGAGATTACGGCTAGGGATGAAGCTCGTCCTCTTGAAAGCACAAAGCCTGTGCAGTATTGTAGAGACCATATGTTGTCCGTGCATCATGATCCCTCTCTCGACCTGCCTTGTTTACTTCAAAGGAAAGGTAAAACCAGAATGTTTAGAACAAAGCAGGCTGCAGAAGCTGCTGAATAGGAAGATTGGTGCTTTGTTTGTCCGCCTGTCGGAGCTTTCCTCCTTGACCTGCTGCCAGCCAAAGGCAAGGGTTTGGTCGGCCCTGCCATAACATAAGTTTTCAGGTTGCATTTCTTCTTTGTAGTATAAGACTAGTATCCTCCCCCATTGTGCTTCTCCGATAAATATAAATGTATATGCGTTAACTGGAATCTGGTGGACACGTCCAGTTATAGCTGTGTGCCTCTGTTCTTTTGTTTGCTTCTGTTTCCGTGTTCTATTGTGTACTGAATTTATACACAATCGACGTCACTCCTTATTGAACATTCGTTCTCAGTCAGGAGCAACAGCTGCCATCTCATGGTGTTTCTACTTACTGTTTCATGAGAAGTTTGATTGTAATTGTCCGTTATCTTGATCTTGAAGATGGCATGCAATTTATGATCAAAAATACACACATACACACACATACGCACACAGAGAGAGAGAGAGAGAGAGAGAGAGAGAGAGAGAGAGAGAGAGAGAGAGAGAGAGAGAGAGAGAGAGAGAGAGAGAGATTATTCCATTTAACACACCACAAATTGCTATTAATATTAAAAGCTTTCCCGGTACATCACTCCACAAACACCCAACACCCCACACCCACCCCCTCTCCCACCCACCCACATCCACACACACACACACACACATACACACACACACACACACACACACACACACACACACACACACCAACACACCAGAAATAGATTATTGAAATTAGCACTTTTTTAAACCATACAAAAACAAAAATCTCACATCTCCATTTTCTGGAGGGTCGCCGTTGCCGAACGTGCTGGTAACAACAAGAACCAGGGACTCATGCTCCAGGGAGAAGATGTCGTAGTCCGCCATACATACCACCTGTCGACAGAGTTTACATGCCTCAACACTCTGAATGCGCATTGGTTCTTTTTACAATTAAAAAGAATAAATACATATGATTTTTTTCGGTGTAATTTTGCAACACATAGTACTGCTGTCCAAAAAGGGTAATTGTGCCAAATTTCAGTTAGAAATCTTATTAGAAATAGTGTAAAAATCTATCGCAACATTCGTACAAGACAAACAAACAAACATATAAACAATATTGAAAGAAATAAAAGCTTTTAAAAAACCGGAACTATGAATCTGATGTAACATCATTCACCTCGGAAAATTTCCAGAATTGTCGCCTAGGAAGTTTGGACTGTGTACGAAATGGGAAAGGTAATAGTGGTAGTAAAAGAAGTAAAACAGTCTGAGACAATATAACTGGAAAATCTTTAGACTGGAATCCACAGACCATAGAAATAAATGCACACCAAAATACAAAGACAAGGGAACTAGAGAGTAAAGTTAAAACATAAGCAGGACATGGGGTGAGTTGCGTACAATAGCAAAGGATGGGACGATCTGGCGTGAGATCATTGATGGCCTTTGTTCCTTCGACAGATACAAGACATAAAATGTTATAAGTTTGGTTGGAAATGGACTTGGGGGGCGGGGGAGGGGGGGGGAAGCTTTACATCTAAAGAGGTAAATCAAAAAATTGTATAATAAACTACCTATGGCAGAATAACCTGGACTGAACGGGTCATTAGAAAGTCGAATTAAGGTCCTGAAGATGTGAACCTACAAAGAATAGATGGCGTTTCATGGAAGCATTAACAATCGAATCAAAAGCAGAGATTGTTTCGTTTACATCTAAAGTGAGGTGTTAAATATAAAAAGATTGTATAATATTTAAACTACATCTAATGGCAGACGGGGTTTCTTATGGCAATTGAATACGTGAGCAATAAATTGAGTGAAATACAAGTTAGAGAATAAATTCATGAAATGAATGAGCAGCAGTATAACAGAGTGTACAACCAAGGAGAACAAGAAAGAGTAAAGATCAACTGCAGCCAAATGTTTTGACAGAGACGGCAACTGATTTGGTTTTGTTTACATTATTCCTATGTAGCACTTGTGTCTGTCGGGAGTCGCCGTGGTGTAGTAGATAGCCGCTGGCCTGCTGATCGGATGGTTGTGGGTTCAGGTCCTAACAAAGCCGGGTTTTTTTTTTCTCCTTCAAACAGTGACTTTGGATCCCAGATGGACGCAGTCTTGAGTAGGTACCAGGAGCAGTTCCGGAAGTTATGGCGGCTGGCGTAATGCTTAGTATGTCATCCATCAAGTGCCGCGTTGTCTATAAAATATAGGTCTAGCCCTATATGCCTAATACGCTTAAAGGCTGGGAAAAGGATCTTTTACTTTTATATGCTGCCTATCAGAAACTATGTTTGTGGAGCCAAGAAACATTACACCACTGATAAAGCAACTAAGGGTGAGGGATAGTTAGTTAATCGACAGATTTCTCATTGCACATCGGACAAGCTAATTTTCAGTACATCCCCCAGAGTGTGACGACTGGTAAGACCAGTTCTGTATTGGTTTACTATTCTTCTTAGGCTGCCTGTTTAGTGTTCATTTTTGGCGACACCTCTTTGGACTTGAAGTTCTTGTAGTCTTTTGAGTGTTGCCGACTCACTGTCGTCTCTTGAATGATTTTCTCCTTCTGCCTCCTTGAGAGAACTGAGAATGTCGGCCCTGGCTATTGCTTTTCCTGTACCTCCTAAAGCCCTGCAACTTCCGGGGCAAGATGGCAGCGGTCAATGTTGTGTTTTCTGACCGCCACTAATTACACATAAAGATAATGAAATGCATATATTGTTTACAGTTAGCGGGACGCAAAAGTAATAGATGAAGTCCATATCTTTGTTCAAAGATTTTCTTCAGTGCTACGGAGTTTTGTGTATCTGAGTCTGAAACCATCTTCGGCGAGGGATAACCCACGTTTATTATATTCCTCGTAATTCAGGCTAAATCAGTGAGCTGCAAGTAAACCAATGGAGCTCAAGGGAAAACTCAATATCAGTGTTAATCAATACCTCTAGTTACATTGGTGTGTAATAATTAGAGCTGTACTAAATAGTGATTTTCACTATTTGGCCGAATACGAATAAATGGACCAACTATTTGGCCAAATACGAATAGTGTATTGTGTATAAAATATATCTATTTAAAAAAACACACACACATTCATAATGGTAAATGAACGCTGAACTTTTACTTCACATAAAAAAGCCCAGAATGGTCATCTTCTTCTTTAGCATTCTGAGCCCCTGAGGTTTGCTGCTGCAAATATCACTCGTCTCCATTCATCTCTCCGGCTGGCCTTCTCTTCATAATTTGTGACACCAGTTGTTTGCAGGTCTGGCTGGAAATTATCTCTCGAACTTTTTTGTTGTTGTTTGCTGCCTCGTTGTCTAGCCCATTCCTCTCTCAGGTGTATACAGTTTTACTTCTCTGTCATCTGACATTCTTTCAATATGCCCCAACCATTTTAGTCTGTTAGCTCTCATGATGTCAGTGATCAATGGAGATTTAAACAGATTATGTGTTACGTTGTTGCTTCTCACTCTCCATTCCCCGCTGTTTGCATCTTTGATGGGTCAAAAGATTTGGCGTAAGACTTTTTTTGAAAACCTGTAATAAAGCCTCATTTTTTTTATTTCTGCTTCAAGTTTCAGAGCCATATAAAACGACTGGTCTTATCAACGTTTTGATTTTGGTGTTGCGAGACAGCACTTTGACTTTAACAGATGTTGAAAGGCATAGTATACTTTATTTCTAGTTTGTATTCTAGATTGTATTTCTTCTCTCAGCATGTTGGAGTGATTGAAGTTTGCACTCAAGAACTTATATGTTTCCGTTCGTTTGATTTTCATATTATCGACTTGGATGTGGCCGGAATTTTTTTTCTTTCCATGTCTAGTTAGTATTCGTACAGAATCGTAAACATTTAAAAACATTTTATGTTTTGCATCCTTCAGTCAGTCTGAGGTAGCTAATAACTAGGAATAAAAGAATCCTAAGTATTATAACAGGTAACTAAACTTGGAAGTTGTCACTGACAGCTTAGTTAATGCATGAAATCTGCATTAGCTTTCAACTAAACTTGGAAATTGTCACTGACAGCTTAGTTAATGCATAAAATCTGCCTTAGCTTTCATGTTGTCAGTATTAAGGCCGTGTATGCAGAAGCGGGCGTAAGGTAACTACTATTCGTATTCGGCCTGACCGCAACTATTTGGCCGAATACCGAATAGTCAGTAGGTCCACTATTCGTCCCCGAAGCGAATACAAAGCGAATATTCGGTACAGACCTAGTAATGATATACTCTGAACTGATACTGACAGAGACCATAGATCACTATCTCTATATTAAATTGAAAGAAGGAAAAGTGACACTAAACTCACAGATGATTGCATACAACTTTACCTTTGAAAATCAATCAGGCGTACCTTGGTGTCAAAGTACTAGAATAAAATTAAGAGCATCCTGCGCAGAGACATCTCTTAGTATCAGAGTATTGACATAAAACTAAGGCCAGCTGGGGTAATGAGGGTTACCTTGTCCTCGAAATACTGACATGATCATTTGATACAGGATTATCCTAGCATCGAAGTTTGAAGATACCCAGGACAAGCAACAAGTGTTAAACCTTTGGCTTCAGAGTACGGACATGAAACAACGGCTAGGCTGCAATGGAGCTTGTCACCACATCAAAGTATTAACATGAGACTAAGGGTGGAATGCAAGGCTGTTAACACTTGGGCATGGAACACAGAGCTGACTGCTACTGCTCTTACCTTGGCATCGAAGGCATGTTTGAAGATCTCACAGAGTGTGTTGGCGAACCTCTCAGACTTGCCGGTCTCTGTAGCGAACAAGATGACACACTTGACTCGGCGGGCCAGAGCCTTGCCCATCAGTTTAGCGGAGAACTTTACGGCCCTGGTGTTTTACATAAGAAAGATATTCACTCTCAGTCCCAGATGGTTTCAAAAATAGAAACCCTAATTTGGCACAATGATCACAGTAGAAAAAGTAACAGAGTAGAAAAATTATCATTGTTATTGTGACCATATGTACCGTCTTCACAGGCACAGTCCCGCGGTATTTAAAAAACAACACGCTAATTGTCCCGTTTTAATAACCCCCCCCCCCCCCCCCCCCCCCCAAAAAAAAAAATTAGGGTCTAGGTTTTCTTATAATATATTAGTTCATTTGTGATTAATAACATTAATAACATAAATTTTAATTTATATTCTTGGAAAAAAAAAGGGGGGGGGGGGAGGTGCGGGGGTTAGATTGACTTACTTACTAAATAATAGTGCAATGTCTAGTTTTCCGCTGAAGTTATTAGTGCAGTGTATAGTTTTCAGTTGAAGATATTAGTGCAATTTCTAGTTTTTAGCTGGGGATATTAGTGCAACATCTAGTTTTCAGCTGAAGATACTAGTGCAATGTCTACTTTTCAGCTGAAGATACTAGTGCAATGTCTACTTTTCAGCTGAAGATATTAGTGCAATGTCTAGTTTTCTAGTTTTCAGCTAAAGATATTAGTGCAATGTCTAATTTTCCGCTGAAGTTATAAGTGCAGTGTCTAGTTTTCAGGTGAAGATATCAGTGCAATGTATAGTTTTCAGCTGCAGATATTAGTGCAATGTCTAGTTTTCCGTTGAAGATATTAGTGCAATGTCTAGTTTTCAGCTGCAGATATTAGTGCAATGTCTAGTTTTCCGCTGAAGATATTAGTGCAATGTCTAGTTTTCAGCTAAAGATATTAGTGCAATGTCTAGTTTTCCGCTGAAGATATTAGTGCAATGTCTAGTTTTCAGCTGAAGATATTAGTGCAATGTCTAGTTTTCAGCTGGGGATATTAGTGCAATGTCTAGTTTTCAGCTGGAGATATTAGTGCAATGTCTAGCTTCCAGCTGGAGATATTAGTGCAATGTCTAGCTTCCAGCTGGAGATATTAGTGCAATGTCTA